TATAAAACTTTCACCTACCAACTTCAATCCCTCGAAGAAAATTATTCTACAACAAAAACTTGATCAGAATAACCCGAAAAGTTTAAAAAAAAAAAAATAGAGGAAGACAAGTAGATTCAAAAAATGTTATACATATATATAGTTATCAAAATTATGTTGTAGTTAAAAAGGTTTGATGCATTAACCTTTTTTAAAACAAAATTCAGTATAAATTAATTTATGAAATTGGTACAAATATTATTTTGTAGTTTTAATTGATAGGAGCCGGTAAGAACTACGAATTTTTAAAAGTCTTGTTCATTCAATAATCAAACAGAATTGATGACTCTATTCATTCTTTTTTTTTCTATGGAATAATAACAAAGAAACTGTCGTTAAGGTGGAGAACTGAACCAAGAATTCTCTTTCTTTATCATCAATAACAAATATTAAAATAATATGATATATCGTCATTGAAAACAATATATTAAAAAAAGTATCATTTGCCTCTTCATTCGAACACATAATTTTTTAAAAAATTTCATATCAATATTAAATGGATATGACGAGTAGACTTTTTTTTTTTTTATATTTTTTTATATTTTATATTTTTATTTTTTTTACAAGTTAATGATAAATAAAGAATAACAAATGAATATTATATTGCATTAAAGTAGAGAATAATATTTACTCATTTGGTTCAATGATTTGCCTATGGGATTTGCAAAATTCTTTTTCATTCAAATTGTAGACTTTTTTTTTTATTTTTTTAATAATAAATAAAAGAATAACATGGGTGTAATTTTCAAAACCAAAAGAAAAATAAAAGAAATTGGGAGAAAACAGAAAAAGAAAATTGAAAAGAAGAAAAAAATAGTATGGGAGGCTGGGGAAAATAAAATATTACTTATAAATGTATAGAAATCTCTCTTGAACAGACGCATTTTAAAACAGTGAGGTTGACGACCATACTAATGGGTCAAAGCGAACAATATTTATTAGCGATGGGCTTGAGTTGTTACGATTGATAGTAGTTGGGTTATAGGTTCGTAGACTTTTTTCTTAGGATAGAGAGTCATACACTTTTGTGGCTCATGTATGAACTTGATGATAATGTTAACTCTATAAGTTGATGTTGGTTTTGAGTTATACCTTCCAAGAGGGGTCATGAGATAGTTGACGCTGCAAGAGTGTGAGAGATCCAATCCAATGGATATGAGTTATCTTAAGGCCTAATACTAGATGAGGTAATTATCAGCTTCTTCAGAAAATTCTATTCATAATGATGCTCTTCTATTCCTCCATTCTAGTGTGCTTTGTTGAAGAATTTGCTTTAGATAATTCAGTTCAAGATAAACAAACTTCCCTTTCTCCTTCTGCCACCACCTCCTTTTCAGATTTTTTTTTTCACTTTGGCCATGTTCGATTCCTTCTGTATTACTACCTTTCCATTTGAGGATATCAAATCTAGCTTCTTCATTACTTTTTCCCAATCACAACACTTATTTTCTTCAAAAATTACGTCTTTGCGCACAACTATCTTCTTGGATGCTAGATCATAGAGTCTTTATGCTTTAGATTCTTCACTCATCCCTAGCGGCACGAACTAAAAAGTTTTATCATCTAACTTCTTTTTCTTACCTTCTAATACATGAACATGGCCAATATGTCCAAAACTAAAAAATAATTAACATTAGGTTTTACGCTTCCAAGCCTCTTAGGAGTCATATCTTCCACTACTACGGTATGACTTTTGTTGAGTATATGCACTGTTTGATTTACTATTTCTGGCATGAAATTCTTTGGAACTTCCTTTTCTAATAATATACTTCTAACCATGTTGATCATTGTTCCCTTCTTGAGCTCAACTACTCTATTTTATTGGGGAATGTACACTAGAGTAACTCTCCACTTGCCCAGACAACAAATAAAATTTTTAATCTCTTTCTCAACAAGACTTTTATAATTCTTGGAGATAGGAAAGGTTTTAGATTTTTCAGCAAGAAAATATACCCGCACCTTGAAGCTATAATCATCAATAAAACTTATGAAATATCTATTCTCACGGTTGAAAAAGGATTTGAAATGTCCATAGATGTCTGCATGTACCCATTGCGGCCTTTGCGTTACTCTCCTTTAACTTCTCTCTTAAAATACATCCTTGTGTTGCTTTCCCACCATGCAATCAATACATATTTTAGATGATGTTTGAACTAGGCTAACCCTCTCATCATTTGCTTATGTTGCAATGTTTGAAACCTAGATACCCATGAAGGAAGTAGGGGTTTTGACATGATTCTTGCAAGTAATATGAACATCTCGTTTGCAGACTTTGTTGTTTGCATAATAAGCTTCTTCTTGGTATGATAGATTATGCATTCTCCACGTTGTATTAAAATAGATACACCTCTTTCTTGCAATAATAGGTTATTTTTCAACTCAAGTATATAGGAAACATTAGTGATTACTTGAGTGAGTCTAGCAATTTGCAATTTAATGTTACCTTCTCCCAACACAACCATCTTCAAATTATTTTCGAGGTTCACAAATTTTCAAAATTCCTTATCTAGATATGATAATCATTCATTGTTGGTACACATATGATTTCTACACCATGAGTTAAGGAACCAAACATTTTACTTCCTCAATTGATTAAGCTCCACATATGACAACAACAACATTTCCTCTTTCTCCTCAAGATCCACACAATTCACTTCCTTCTCCAATTGAGGACACCCATGTCTAAGATATTCTAATTGAAGACAAATACAATACTCAACTGTAGCTTTGTTGAATGAATGTCTACCTCTTCCTCTTCCTCTAACTCTTCCTTGAAAAAATTCACAAGCTCATCGCTCCTATTTCACCAATTATAGTGCTTGATAAAAAAAATTCACAAGCAGAGTTGGTATATGACCCATAAAATTAGTATAGTAGCTTACAAGACAAAAAAAATGGTTAAGGTTGGGTTTTAAAACATCTATCTATTTATTTTTAATTAAATAATAATAAAAGAAAATGTAATTAAATAAAAACAATACATGTATTCAAGATTCTATGGCTCAATGGACGAGGCGCCGGTCTAGGAAACCAAAGACTATAGGTTTGACCCTTGGTAGAATTGGTACATGACCCGCTCCTTTAGCTCACACATTAAAAGCTACCAAATAGCTTACAATACTAAAGAAAAAAAAAGGGTAGGGTCCGTTTCAAAACATCTATCTATTTTTTTTTTTAACATTTAATTAAGATTTATAATTCGATTTGAATATACATTTTTAAAAAATATTGGAGGGTAAATAAAAATAATATATGTATTGCTGACTCAATGTCCCAATGGATAAGGGCCTCTGGTTTTGATCCCGAGCAGAGTCGGTACATGACTCATAAGACTGATTTTAGAGGGTTTTGGGTTTGATTCCCAGCAGAGTCGGTACGGTACATAACTCGTAAGACTGATTTTAGGGATTTAGTTAGTGTTAAAAGACGTAGAAGACAAAAAAAAAAAAAAAAAAAAAAAA